ACATGATGACTGAATTCAACGTGCCTTCCTAGACAGCATCCTGGAAAAGAAAAAGGACTGGACATTAGGTAGGAGAGATGGCCATCAGGTGGAAACAAAGAAAGTCTGATAAAGAAAGGACTTTAGTTAACAATAAGGTATCATTATGGATTCATTAACTGTGACAAAGGAGACAAATAATTTTAGAGGCTAGTAATAGGGGAAACTGGGCATGGGGTTTATGGAAATTGTACTGTTTTTGCAATTCTCTGTAAAACAAAAGCTATTCAAAATAAGAAATTTATTTTTTGTAAAAAAATAAGTCAAAGCTATTACACTCAGCAATAACCAGTGCTATGTGGATATTCAAGGAAATGTCAAAATACTGCTAAGGAACTATGGGAAAATTAGCAGAACATACAAAGGAAACAGAAGTTTTTAATCTAGGTAAGAGAAAAATTAAAGATGATTTAAGTACAGTTGTATATATTTTTCATTAAGGATAATATAGGGAAAATCACAAGATAGCAGAAAGGGGAGCTAAAAGCTTTCACAACTCCATCTAGAACAACTATTATTAGAAATTTTTTTCATATTTTAAAATATGTCCATATTTTTGTGGGTTTTTCATGGTTGTAATCATACTTGACATGTACTTTAATCTCTTGGACATTTTTGCCTTCCTTCACTGAAGATAAGACTCACATAATCCAAGTCAATTGACCTCATTGTTCATCATGAAAAAAAAATTGGTTTCAGTAAAAGGGAACCATATGATTTCCAAGACTGTAGGTAATGAAACCAGAATCTGCTGTTTATCTAGGACACAGTGCAGAGTCATAGGAGATACATATGATATTATATGGGAACTCACTGGTCTATCTCTTGATTTCACTGTGGAGGTGGTATGATATTTAAGAAAGTAAACAGAAAGTGGGGGGAAGCCCTCTGGCAGGCAAGAGCCACAGAAATAAGAGGTAGGGTACCGAGAACACTGAAGATGGCAAGTGGGCTTGAGGGATTTGGAAAGGGCATGTGTCTATTTCAGATGTGAAAATCTATACAATGGTGATGAAACTGAAGAGCATGTGGGGAAATCTATTTTGTACCTGTGTGGTGTGTGAATTTGATAACAAGGGAGAATGTGTTGAGAATAAATGGCAAGAAGTATTAACACTATTAAAATTCCTGTAGTCTCCTCTGGGTAGGAGCTTACATTCAAGACAATACGTTTTCTTAAGATTTGATAAGATGGCTATTTTCCTAGTCAGAAAGTTTGATGTCTGAAATTCTGTTAGAGTGAGACCAGAAACAGTAAACATTCTAGAGCACATACTGCCACCCAGTGGATGAATGTGCATGATGCACAAAGCATTTTCAAAGGAAAAGGAAGACAGCAGGGGGTTGCCTGATGTGAGGTTGAAGCCTTGTGTTCGGTGAAGGAGGCCTACCATGTGATCCAAAACTGATTATGCCACTCAGAATGCCAGGCCAGGTTTTACTGAGGGAGGCCATCCTCGCATGTGATTTGAGTTACCTTCCTGGCTGGGTGAGAGGTGCTTAAACACAGCTATGTCGAAAGCCTTCCCCACCCTTTCCCAGGTCTGAGGGCTTGTCCTTGCAGAGGCATGCCTGGCCATTGACGTGAACACCCAATCGTTGTCCTTGACCTTGGGATGCTGTCCCCCTTAACCTTCATTGGATGGGATTTTCCCTTGAATTTTTTGTTCCCCAATAAAAGCTCACTCCCTGGCGTGCTCTCCCTCCCTTGCTAGTCTCTTCTGTAAACCTCGCCACCGAATTAGGTGGCTGGAGGTGGGAGCTAGGAGAAGCCATCTTGGAGCTGGTGTTAAGGTAATGAGAGTCTGTCTCTTTAATTTAAAACTCACTAGCAATTTCTTATGAACCAAACCTTCTTTCATGAAGCTCCCACTGGTCGAGTGTTAGATTTTACTATATGTTTTCAAAGTATCCTGATAAACATTATCAGAGGCTTTGGCAATGAAAGAGAAATATTTTGGGATGTGTGTTTACCACCACGCTAAATACTAAAGTCTCATTGATGCTAATGAAACTTATGCCCATGAATTTCCAATAAGACAAGTCAAAGTTACTTATAACAGGGCATAAAGAGGGTTGTCAAGGCATAGACTTGAGGTTCAAGTCATAATCCTTCAGCTACTGAGATCTCTGACATAAAGTCTGAGATGAATTACATTTTGGGCATAATCATTTAAATATCCCTACATCTAAATGCAAAATAAAGATTTATAGTGGGAATATATAAAGACAACGGATGGAAGCTGGACCATTTAAAAGCAGTGAGGCCATGTTTACCTGGAGATTTCCTGATGGTCCAACTGGGAGGGACAGAGCAATATTTTTGTTTTGGGGGTAACTCCATAAGAGTCATCTGATATTCTGTAGAGAAGTCCAAACCTATTTACTGTGTTATTTAAACAAGAAGGACAGAATATATGGGATTGGAGTGACACTGAAGATCCAAGGAAATCATCTTGTCTGAGACTTGATTTTTTGCTTATATTCAGCATTCTCACAAAAATGTTTACCTCTAGATAGAGAACGGCCAACTGATATGCTTATTCATTGTCAGGCCTGGAATTTATTGACTTTGCCCTACTTACAAGATAATCAAGTAGCCTATCATGGCTTTATGGATACTGGCAGAAGTCAAGAGAGATCTGTTTTTTTATTCACCACTATGGAGCAGCAAGAACACCAGGTTTGAATTGTTTTCCCTAATCGCCCAATCCCTGTAGCAAGCAGCACCAAGGAGGAGCCCAGATATACCTTATGCACAATTATTTGTTTCCTAGGTTGAGAATACTGAGTCTGGGGAATCCACCATTTTTTAAAACAAAAGGGAAGCAAGCTAGCTCATTTTTCCAAAGTAGGGCCTAATATAACTCAAGGTTGCTTGCTGAAAAATTGCCTGTATAAAGAGCAACTAGGGATTTGCATTCTTGGTATAACCAGTAAAAATGTGCTAGGGTGCTTAAGCCTCATTAGTGATTGCCTTTCCCAGTATTCTTACCAAGCCAAAATCAACTTTCTGATGATTCCCACTAGTTTTGGTGGTTTTCCTAACACTTGAACATTTTCTACTTCAAATACATGCTGGGATTTATCCTCTTGCCACTGAGACTTCTTTTCTCCAAGCTGATCATTTCTAACCCCATTCCTCCATTGACCATATCTGATTCTATGTGCCCTCACCTTCAGAATTTCTTTCCTCTGAACTTGTTTAAGAGTTACTTTCCCAAATGGACTATGATACTCCCAATGATGGTACAATACATTTAGACCAGACTAGAAAAAGTACTCTTATTTTAGAAATATACTTAATTTTTATTTATTTTTATTTTTATCAAACTATGCTTTGATGAGATTTCTTGGCAGTTCTGTTAGTTCTCAAAGCAAAATCCTGGTTTTTACCATAAACTGCCACTAAGTCATATATTTCTCTATTCCTATGGCAGAGAATGGAAACTCCATGTAGTGTTTTATCAAAAGAATTATTATGCAAAAGGGATTCCATTCATCACAGTAAAAAGT